GTTTAACCTACAGTGAATTATCTGTAGTATGTGATGACCAAATACTTCACTGTAGACCTTTTTTTTTTTGGTTGCTTCAGTACTTCCTATAGATCATTTTTATTTCCTTTTCAGCATTTATGACGATCTACAGGAACATGGACTACTAAACCAGCAACTCATTTTAACCTGAAGACCCCCAATCGCCACCTGCTGAAGATCACCCCCATGTCGCCACCTGCTGAAGACCCCCCATATTGCCACCTGCTGAAGATCACCCCCCATATCGCCACCTGCTGAAGATCACCCCCCCATATCGCCACCTGCTGAAGATCACCCCCATGTCGCCACCTGCTGAAGATCACCCCCCCCCATATCGCCACCTGCTGAAGATCACCCCCCCATATCGCCACCTGCTGAAGATCACCCCCCCCATATCGCCACCTGCTGAAGATCACCCCCAATCGCCACCTGTTGAAGATCACCCCCGTATCGCCACCTGCTGAAGATCACCCCCCATGTCGCCACCTGCTGAAGATCACCCCCCATGTTGCTACCTGCTGAAGATCACCCCCCATGTCGCTACCTGCTGAAGATCACCCCCCATGTCGCTACCTGCTGAAGATCACCCCCCATGTCGCTACCTGCTGAAGATCACCCCCCATGTCGCTACCTGCTGAAGATCACACCCCATGTCGCTACCTGCTGAAGATCACACCCCAAGTCGCCACCTGCTGAAGATCACCCCCCAAGTCGCCACCTGCTGAAGATCACCCCCATATTGCCACCTGCTGAAGATCACCCCCATATTGCCACCTGCTGAAGATCACCCCCCAAGTCGCCACCTGCTGAAGATCACCCCCATATCGCCACCTGCTGAAGATCACCCCCATATCACCTCCTGTTGAATACAAATAAAAAATAAAAAAACATTCATTTATAGACTCTTGCTAAAACCACCAGAAATTATGTACTACGGCAAACTGTGAAATCTGCTGCTAGCAGAAGAGATCCTTCAGAGATGGATTGGCCACACACTCATTATTCTGATCATTCACCATCTATTACTGCAACATTTTGGTTTTTTATTTTCCCCAACTTTCTGTTGAATGAATTCTGATTTTATCTCATTCAATTTTTTCTTAAATTTTATGTGTTAAGTGACAGTTTATAATGTAAATGTTATGTTTCTTTGCCTACTTGAAAATTGACCTCAATAAATATTAATTTAAATGAAATCAGTTTGTATTTATTACTAAACACATTTTTCATATGTCCACTTAACCTGGGACAATATAAGCCAACACTCAGTCCATTGCTTTGGTTATATCATGGGTTTCTCAACTCATCTATAGCCTACCCCAACTCATGAATGTTCAGCAATTACAGTGTATAGGGGTCAGTGTTTGGATCGCACCTGGCTCTGTATTCACAAGGCCAAATTTCACCAGATGCAACTTTGTTTTTATACATGTGCTGTTTTAGTATGTTGTAGCCTGTTCTGAGTCTGAAGATAGTGTTGTTTGAGTGTCAGTTTATAGAATCTGTCATCTTTTGTAGTGTGGGTGTATGTTGGACCACATTTGTGATTGTTTTTTTGTTTCTTTTGGATGTAGTGCTTTTCTATTTTGGCCAGCTGGTCCAGGATATCATTTCCTTGTATCTGGCAGTGGCTTGGGATCCACTGCAGCACAATCTTGCTGCAAGTAATTTTTAATTTTAGCCTTTCAAGTGCTGTCCTGATTCTGGATTTTTTATGGGGCTGCAGGACAGATTTTGCATCTGTAAGAATTACTATCTGAATATTTGGTGATTCAGGGTGTTCTGACAGGTTTGCTGCATGCTCTAAAGCTTCTTTCTCTGCTCTAAAATTATCAGATAGGCTGCCTGTGGCTATTGACTTTTCTAAGCTTTCTCCGTTTGGCCATTCAATGAGGACGCCAGCACTGCCTTTTTTGTAGCATCTTCAGCTGAGCCATCTGTGAATACTCTAATCCAGGTATTGCTGGGGTACTGTTCTTTAATGTGCTTACATTGTTAAATGTTATTTTCTTTAAATCTTGGTGATCGAATTCCGAATTTCTTTCTATGGTATCTATTGAGTCACCGATGGTTAATGTACGGTGAGAGAACCACTGCGGGGAGAGATTTTGAGTTTTGATTGTTTCAGGAGTGTTTTCTATTTCATATTTCTTTCAGACTTTTGGTTTCTTTGATAAAACTTGTTCTTTGAGGTCTGTTCGAGCAGGGCTTATGGAGTTTTTGCTTTGGATTATGGTTATCCAGTGCCTCCAGTGCAACACTTATTTGGTGGACCAACAGTTCTCCTATTTTCTTATTCATAATCATTTTTAACAAACCTTATTTAAACTAGACAGTACAGTGTAAATGCTTTGCTTTTGATTTGCACATAATATTGTTACTTACGAAAAAATCTAATCTGAGAAATGATGCTGCCATAATTAACGCGTGCTGTCACCAATGATCACTGGCACACTAATTATCAATTATTTGTTAATCTTCAGAGAATAATTAAAAAACATGAAGGTGGATTTCTCAAATAAACTAATATAATGTATGCATCCTTTGAAAAAAACTAAGGATTATAGATTTTAGTCTCTCATGACAGTTCAGCTATAACATGCCTTAAATTGTGCCAGTTAAGTAACAGTAAACCAGTTACCACCTTTTAATAGTTATAAAGTAAACAGAAAATGTGACCTAGGCTATGCTAGGATCTAAATTTCAATTTTCTTCCTTCTATCACTAAATCTGCATGTTCTCTGTTGTAATGCAAACTATCATTCAGTCTTTATGCAGAGTATATTCTGTAAAACTGTTTACACTTGTAACATGTTTACTATACATGTCTAGGAAAAAAAACAGCATTAAGTGAGTACCCCCCCCCCCCCCCACACACACATACATACATAATAAAATAACTTGGATAATTTTTTTGTAGACTTGTATAGTATACATGTTGCAAATGAAAACAGCATGCTTGTAAAGCTCTTTGCCATAGTGAACTTTTAAACAGTGACATTGTATATTTTCAACAAGATTATCACTAGGTTCAAAAGTTTTCAAGTAGAATTTTAACACTATTTCATGAAGAAAATATTCATTTAGACCTATAATGTAAGCAATAAACACAAAACTTTTAGTTTATTAGCAAAAAGCAATGTATTGTTCTTTCAATCATTCACCCAGCTATATGTTTACAATTAATGAAATCTAATTTTAATTGCTGTAGCAGTGATAAAAGATTGATGAAAGCTAGTCTATTTCCAGGAATCTGGTTCCTACAATGTGGGCCTGCATTATTTCATATTTGTGCTTGAGCATTGAGGTGGACCACTTTGGGCATTGATGCCATTCACTGGGCACATGAATATGTTATCAATGGAGCACCTGACATCTTATGATGTGAGAGGATTAAATCTTTAAATTATGTACACAAAAATCTAAACACAAAACTTTCACTAAATTAAAAAAAAAGAGTTGTAGGCCTATATTGTCTGCAATTATAATTTATGAACTTAACTTTTTTAATAAAAAATAATCACATTAAAATACAAATAATTTAGCTTTTTAATAGGTTAGTTATTTTTTATGAAACTAAATGAACAGCTGTGTAGATTAGTATGGTTAAGCTTATTTATCTGCATACAAAACATCTGCATAAGCTAAAGAAAGGGGCACTAAATATATACAGATTTCATTAAAGCATGAAGTTAAAATCAGCACTTGAATTAAGCAGGTTACCCACTTGCACACATTCATGCCCATGTCAAAGATACAATGGAATGCTTCAGAATGTAGATCTATATGCATTTCTTTAATTCATTGAATTCTGGGTTTGTTTTACCTGACTCACACTAGGGTAGAAAAATTTGCTGGGCCTAGAATTAACCCTTCAAACATAGGTCATGGAAACTCTACTTCACCCGCCACTTTGACAACCCTGTCCAAAAGATTAGGGAGCAAAGTTTCTAGCTTATTTCTAGATACCTCCTTTGGATATTCTGCTAACTGCCATAGGCAACCTAAGTTATGACTATATGAGAAAAGTACACATCTCAAAAATGAAAAGTTGAATTGCGTTGTTTAAATATACAAGTTGGGGTCTTAGTTTATTTATGAAATTCCAAAGAGTTGTTTTGATTTCACCATTAATAAAACTGAATTAATACTGAACAGTTACCTTAATGTTGTTAGCTGTAAATGTATATTATGTAACAGTTTATACACAAGTAGTAGGTAACATTGTATGTTCCTGCTAAAATAAGGAATAGATTATGATTATCCAGTTTTAGTTTTAGAATTAATTGTTGTTTGGGGCATTTGTAAACTAATTACTTTGAACAAATTTGATTAAAATTCAGTTGATTTTTTTATGTACAGAAAGATTTGGTCATTGTTATCTTCACAACTTGAATTGCTACATTATGGAAGGACTGCCAATAATATTTCTTTTTAGAATGTATTTACCTATTTGTCTTTAATCTTTTGCCAAATTATTACCGATTTAAATTTCAAGTAGATAATTATTTTTTTTTACCTGTTATAAATGTATTGTTCAATTAAACATTTAAAAAATGCCAGGAAATCAATCTTTTTCCTGTGGGCTCTTTTTCTCTAATCAATGTATTCAAATTTTTAGAACAATGTTTAGAAATTTAAACCTGACCTAATGCAACATGCCCACATACTGTTTGAGCTATCTATATATATAATTCTCCTCTTGGAGCCGTTAGAAAACAAGCTGCAAACGCTCTCCCTACCTCCCCACCCCTACATGGTTTTAGTGAGCTGTGTTCACTCTAAATGTTTACAAGCAGAGCCAACGATTTTAAACGTAGGGGGGGGGGGGGGGGGAAGGACGGGGGGGGGGGGGGGGGGGTTATGGTCCTTAACGAACTACTTATAGTGTTTTAAAGAAATATTTTCAGTGTCAGCGTTGGTACTGTCGAATTCACAAATTATGAATTATTGAAAATTAGAAACAACTAAATAGCGGCGTATGTTATGCCGCGGGCCGGCTCGTACATTATAAAACTGTAATAGTAATTTCTCACACTGATTTAGAAACAATTGCTTATTTATGTATTAATTGAGCAGCTATTCAACAAATGGGCTATATCATACATAAATCATACATTTTTCATTTCAAAGTTTCCAATATCTGTGTATTTGTTTTTGACTATTTTAGAATCAGGGGATAGATCAAACAAAACCAGCCATTTTAAAAATCCAAAAATATTGAAATGTAAAGATTGTGCACAGTAGTTGCTATGTTTTGTTTTTTATAAGTTCTCAAAAACAAAAAGCTGTACAGGGACATACCTTCATTAACTTAAAGCAGCTCAAGTATTCTAAATATAGTTAGCAAGTTAGTAGTTGTAATTCGCCTACTTTAAAAGCAGCTAAAATATGACTATATATTTAATAATAATGTATGATGTACCTAAGTACATATATTTATAGAGATGTTCTTGTATTGATGGGTATATTTTTTTTTTACAAAAATCTTGTATAGGTTGGATAAAATTAGTCATTTTACAACATATTTTAATATAAGATTTGTGCTCAGGAAAAAAAAAAAATTTTGTGTGCTAGAAAACAATTTTTGGAGTATTGGCACACAATGTAAGCAGGAAAGAGAACTGTTGAATAAATGTAATATACCAAGTACAGAGTTTCATGCAGCCCAGTTAAATTCTTTCACAGTAAATAGGCCTCAGTGCAATATTTGATTTGTTCATGCCAAGAGAAAGAAACAATTTAAAAAAACATGACCAGAAGCTATACAAGCATTTCATTTTGTTTGCAATTTGTTTATTTACTTTTAAAGTTAATGACAAGCATACACATCTTCCTTAACAAATAAAAAAAAAAATTACAATCGGGTATAAAATAGTTCAGCTATCCAGGATACATAAGTTAGAATAGAGAGTCTACACAAGTTATTTTTAAACATTATAATCATCAAGACTAACCGAACTTGTATAGATACAGAAAAAAAAGTTGATAAGCTGGACCCTGTTTAATCAGGAAATAGCTAAAAGAGTGCATAACCTTACAGAACAAAAAAAAATACCAACACCTCAAACCCTCCCTTACAAATACCCTTAACAAGAAAGATAACTCTAAGATTAAAAACACACATGCTAGACATTTTTAAAAACAAAACAAGCAGGCACACAGAGAAGCATGTGCACACATCAACAAATGGGTAGCAAAAAGGCGTACAGCGGCTAGAAACAAGTCTTCACTTCGATGGTGACTACTTGTTTGTTATTTCTCTCTTCATGAAAGCACAAAGAAACTGGTGGTAACAGGCTGGTGATATACAAACATGCTAAGTTGTTAGTTCAAGACTCAGCAGTTAGCATAGAATATCGGAGATTAGCAAACATTCACCTAGGTAGAAAAATGTTTCAGTTTACAAATTTGTGCATCACATATAAACAGAATTTCATGTAAAATATTTGCCTTTTGGTAAATAAAAATTATTTGTAAAACAATCTTGGTTTAGTTAAAAAAAAAAGCAACAAATTAAATTTTTTAAATATGGTTTATTGGGAAGTTTCCTTTTTAATATATGTATAAATTTTTTTTGTACAAAGGTGACAACTGAATGTTATTGTGAGCTTCTAAATAAGTATATGCTACTAGAAAAGGACATAATTAATCTCAGCATCCTCAAAGATAAATAAAGCCCAAACCAATCACGTAACAAGCTCTACCAGTTGAACCAGTGACTCAGGTGAAGTCTACACCAGGTGCATTCAAATCCGTGCAACTACAATCTGCATTGGTTTGTTAGGAGGCAAGGTGCACTAGCCAGAAACATTGCCATCTAAAGCTTTTCAAAATGTGAAAGATAAGTACACTGTTACATACACAAGGGGGGGAAAAAAAATTAAACTAACAAACCCAAGCCTGCATGTTGAAATAGAAAAACAAAAACATGCACAAATCAAACATTCAAAGATGTATTTACTGTATTGGTCCCAATATGAATGACAGGTATTAAATGAAAAAGAAAACCTACAAGGTACAAAACAATGCAATCAGACCACAGAGAAACAGACAGATGCTGTACTAATGGAGGAAAATCTCTTTTCAGACCAATTTTTTTTTCAAATCTAAATTAAATATTTAATTTCCTTAAATTCTCAATTTACATCGTAAAGTACTTTTATTTCGGCAAAAAATATATTACTGTAACACTTGAATAACCTACATTGTGCAATAATTCTGTAAAAATGGAATTCATCTTGATTCAACTATCTACAAACTACTTCTTTAAAAGAAAAATTTACCACAGCTGCAGCCAAAGTCAACTAATTTGTTCAATCCCAAGATTTCTGTGCAGGCACGTCAAGGGAATATAAGTATGGTGTTGAAAAAAAAAACACGACTTTTATATCACAGGGTTAAATGAAAATAATAAACCGCCAACAACATTTTTAGATACCCAGCATGTTTTAATTTTTCTTTCATAAAAAAAAAATTGCTAAGCTGGCTCCTTATAAATTAAGAAGCCCATACAGATACTCAGAGAAAAAAGCCTTGCAAATCACTCATGCTTCTCCATTTGTTTTTATACTGTTATTGTTTTTACATCAAAACATTCAATTTGAACCCAGCAAACAATGAACCACTAGAAATGATGTTTATGATACAAATCATGATTCATAATGACTGGTGACATTGGTTTGAAAAAAAAAAAAGGAAGTCAACTTATTACAGCAAACCAACAAATGGTTACGTATTCATTCCATGCTGTTGTTTTGCAAATACAGCGAAGCATGCAGTATACAATCAGAATGGTGAAAACTTAAAAAAAAAAAGACTTCTGAGAAAAATCTACTCTAGGTTGTAATCACTTTAATATTATTAACCTGTGCTGCAGCAGAAGAAATACATCCACTGGCATATATTTAAGTTAGATTTTTAAAAATTACTGCAGAAACAAAAACGATGCACATTCAAATCAAGCGTCTCCTCCTAAAACAACTACTGATGCATCTAGGATGCTGTAATGCACAAATTGAACCCCTCTTAAAGCAAACCAGGGCAACTGCAGTCAGTAAATTTGTTTGTGTACATGGAATAAATAAGAAAAAAAAATATGATTAAATCCAAGGAATGGAACAACTGTATGCCCTGCAGCTCTAAAGTTAAATGCTTCATACATTGAAATACACACGAATCTTTGATTAAATAATTAATATCTAAAATAATTTAATTAAAATCATGTTGCGTCGAATTAGGTTTACCATAGGAATTGATCCCTTTTCCCAAAAATAGTAAATACTATAGTCACAAATGAGTAGTTGTGAATTGTACAATATACTACCAGGTTTTAATGATTTTTTTTTGTATAAAATAAATTAAAAAAATGGGTGCATTTTCAAAGCCCTAACCATCTTACTACAAAAAAGGGGGACAAAACCAGGAAAAAAGAAAATGAATCTTTTCCTTAAAGGTGCACAGTGTCATTAAGAACAGCACTGTTTCTTTCCTTGGGCAGGGTTCACTGTTTTCTCTATAGTGATGGTCTGGACATTGGAGCTAGGGGAATTGTCATCATCTGGTGAATCTCTAATCTGTTTCTGTGATACAATCTTATAGATTTCTATGGAGGCAAAACAAACAAAAAACAATTGGATTTAGGAACTAAATCTAGAGCTGCATCATAAATTACCTGAGAAATGTGTAGTTGCTGAATGATTTTCTAACATACCACCCAGTAACAAAGATATTTATAAAACATTGAATTACAGATTATATTTCATTTACTTTTATAGTTTTGGCTTTCCCTAACAAATATTAACCCTCTATTATAAATGCAACTAGAAAAAACTACAAATGTTTTAAGTGTGCTGTTCACAGGGTTTCTACTGATAATTATTTTTTTTTTGCAAAGGAGATTTAGAAGTTTCCAGGAAATATTACTGTATACAAACTGAAACCGACATTATTGCCTTAAAAGTTTTTCATTGAATCAGCAAAGTTTTATCTGAGCTCCAGTATAATGCAAACTGAGGATTTTACAACTTGGCTATCTTAAAATATAAGCCACATTGTCATACTATCTGTGGTGAACAACATACAGTGTTATCCCGCTTATCAAGGAAATATTACCTGTAAGGATATTATGAAAGGCAGACTCAACATTTGTAGAATCTAATGCTGAGGTCTCAATAAATGAAAGGTTGTTTCTCTCTGAAAACAATTTTTTTAAAATGTATTAATTTAAGCTAGGCTTGTTACGGTAAATGTCTACAATGTTCTTCAACTTTGCCAGTCATCTCACAATGGCCCAAGGCATATATTTTGAGGTGAGTGTGTGTGCTAAGTTCATAATCTTCTAATAGTAAAAATGTACAGTTCACATTCTTCTATATTATGGCACAAAAACCTAAATCATTATGGCACAAAAACCTAAATCAAATTAATTGGAAACAAGGTTTGTTTTAAAGTTACACACTCACTTAGCAGAAATGATACAAATTTTGGATTAAAAAAAAAACTTTTATACCTATTTATGGCCTATATTTACCAATGATTTCTGGTTAGAACTGGCATAACTTTATTACTATTATTGAAACAGACTAAAAAAATTTAAAATAGTGTCCAGCACTATTATAGAAACTAACTAAGCCAAAACACACTGTTAAATAACTTAACTAGCTACTCTAACAATTTATACTGGACATATATTAAAACAGGCCTATAAAACCATGCTTTGTGAAGTGAATGAACAAGTGAATATAAGCAGTAACCTGTCCCATTTGTTCATGTCACCCCTCATACTGTGCATTTTGTCATCACAGTTCTATGTCCGATGGGTACTTGTTTTTTGTATGTGTATAAAGGAGTGTAACAACGTGGTCCAATGCCTCATTTTACAACATCCATGCTACCTTGTTAGTGTAGTTTAGGACTGTGTATAGTAGCCTCTGTAGTTTAGGTATAGTAGCCTCTGTAGTTTAGGATTTGCGTTACACTCCTTCATTTTTTAACTTAGAATAGACTTTGTGTAGATAGCCATTCAACTTTTATTTAGTCTAGTGTTTTCATAAACTGTTTGTGGTTTTGTCTTATATGTTGTGCGACAAACTGGATTACCGTAACTGTGTGACAGTTTGTTCCACAACAAATGGTAATCAAATATGTAAGCAACCTACCAGCAAAGTTTTTCGCCTCATCCGTTGGAACTGCTCTCAAATGTCTCAAGTCACTCTTATTCCCTACAAGCATGATAACAATGTTTTGGTCAGCATGGTCTCTAAGTTCCCTCAGCCATCTCTCCACATTTTCATATGTCAGGTGCTTTGCAATGTCATATACTAGTAGAGCTCCAACAGCTCCTCTGTAGTAACTATAATAAATATACAACCATTCAATAATACGGACAATTTAAAAAAATAAGATTTCTAACAGTTTTATATTTAATGATAGTTTCATCTGACAGACGATTGGATAATTATGCCTTGGAAATAAGGCGCAAAGCCTGGGCAGGAAGACCCCCATTCTCCACACAGTCAATTACATTTACTTGAAATCAGCTGTGCGGTAGAAGTTGCCTTAAGGAAACCAGAGTGGAATTGCATCTCACAAGAGACTACACTCATGTTTTGTTTAAGCGTGTTCTCTCCTGGATGGGTTACTTTCCCCAACTTACAAGCCTCATCTGTCTGGGGTTTCAAACGTCCTGACTTTTTGGGAAAGCAATAAATTGCTTTCATCAACTGCTACACAATAAGATAAATGTCAGTTCTAAAAACAGGTCATCGAGCATTAAAAACCTAAGTCTTACGCGCTTGTGATTGCTCTATATCTTTCCTGACCAGCTGTGTCCCATATCTGAGCCTTTATTGTTTTCCCATCCACTTGTATACTCCTGAAAATTACATTTAAACAATCAGAACATTTGTAACAGACATAATCTAAAATCAACAAATTTAACTGCTAAAATATGGGAAACAGTTATTTTTAGAGAACAAGTTTAAAAGAATTGAATATGAAACTAAGAACACAAGTGATCCAGTGTAGACAAGTGAAACAACTTGGTGGCTATATATATGTTTACCTTGTAGCAAACTCAACACCAATAGTACTCTTGCTCTCTAGATTGAACTCATTACGTGTGAATCTTGACAACAAGTTAGATTTACCTACACCTGAGTCACCTATCAACACAACTGAAAAAAAAAAAAAAATCACATTACTTGATGGATCAAATTTTAGAAGATACAGATATATAAAAGATAAAAACATTCCCTGTACACATTCACACACAACATATTAGTTCAGACAGTGGCATCAAAATGAATCAACTCATTAAAAAATCTAACACCTAGTGTGTGTGTGTGTGTGCGTGTGTGTGTCAGACCTTTCACTAGACAATCAATCATTTCCTCCTTGTCCATATTGATTTATAAACTGATGATGTGCTGAATGAAACTGAGACTACTTGATTAGGGCAACTGACAAATAAATACTAAAAATTGACCATATAAAATGTGTAATGTAGCAGCCACTGAAAAATCCAATCCCTACAATTAAATTATGAAATATATCTGCCACTTGATAAAAAAAAAAAATATTTTAAAGATATCCTTCAGACAGCTATTACACATTCAATCAATGAAGCATTCATTTATAATGTGACTGAAGTATAAGGAAATATATATAGTGTCAGTCCTATTCATATCCTATTCCAGTCTTAATCTTAGTCATGCATGAGTCATTTCAGCCACATAGCATAAGGATATGTGGCTAAATCAATAAGTAACTATTTATAAATTAACTAACATAATTAAGTTATACTTATTATATTCTCAAACAACAACATTTAATAGGATTTATTTATCATTGTAATAATAACACTAATTTTTGTATTCAAGTCAGCGGGGATAGTATCATTTATAAGATTCTTTACAAAAATAATCTGGTGTTGTACTAGGGTATTTATGTATCTATAACAAATTATTATCAAAATGAGGTAAAATGTTGATTGGAATTTTTCTAAAATAACGATTGAATGTTTATGAAAAATCTTATCCAGAATATACTAGCAATTATTATTCATTGTAAAAATCTACTTTGTCTCATTTTCTACTTCAAAAAGTTAACCAATCACACATATTATGAAGCTTAGCACGGCTTCCTCTGCCAGAAAAACTAAAACACATACCCATTATTAATATGATCGTAGTTACAATAATTCTAACGAGAGTTAATTAATATTTTTCTTTTGATAAGGGAAATTGTTGACATTGAACTAGAACTATGCCCTTCTAAAAAAAAATTCCATTCAGATACCTTACTGATAATTTAATAACAATGCAGTGATGCAAATAAAAAGAATGTTAGCTTGGTATTTTTATGCTGTAATGGTGATAGCAAAAAGTTTGTTTCTATCCAGTGTACTCACAGATGAGTTAGATAACAACATTTAATATCGATGACAAGTAATGGACTAAACTGTGTAACATTCCTTCTGAAGTGCAGATCTAAGGACTAGCACTATTCATCATTCACCAGTGACAAGACTTTGTAACATTAGTGTAATCAGCTGATGCCTAAGTCTTATAACAATTTGAATCTAGAGCCTGGTGTTAGGATGGGTGAAGGTGATCTTGCATGTAATTTTGAATTTAAGAAACAGTGCTGAAGGATTTTTAATGTTAATCAGAGAACGCAGATTAGCTGTTAAAGCAATTCACGACGTGATTGTAATTAATGACTTATTTATTTTAAAAAATGCACTTAGTTGGAAAAATGTAATCATTTTTTCCCCATACCAAGTAAAGGGTGTCAATTTTTCTACTAAAATCATGGATTAGATTAGTATAAGAATAAATAAGGTTTTGGTACATTATCTTATGCACTGACATAACACAACCGCTGAATGTGATTGCTGATTTACAAGTGATTTTACAATCAATTACACACACACACATATATAGATAGATATATAAACAATTAAACTAGAATAAGGTACAAGAAGTAAACAACTCAAAAGCTCTAGTGATATTATGACCTAGATATACAACCAAAAACTCTGAATCAACAAAGCAACACAGTAAATAGAGAAACTACTACAGACCAGTAGGTGTACAGTAAAGATGAAGTACCACAAATGACCTAACACCTAGCTTTTTACAACAAGGAGGGTATTACCTGGTTAACAGTACCCACTAGTTATAATCTCAATCACTCAATGGTATTGTAAGTTAAACTATTCTTTGTAGTTTGATATAATATAATGAACCAGAATGTCCAAATTATAAAGTGAAAATCATTAAAATTATAAGAACCAGAAGTAACTAATTAAATAATGCTTTATTAAGTATGTCACACATAATATTAAGGCTTCTTTAGAATTTGAGTTATTTAGATAATGTATTGATAAATAAAGATAACAAAAGCTACCACAGCGATGAATTTATATACAAAGCTTTCAAAGAATGGCAATTTATACTTAAGTTGATGATTAGAAAATTGTCACATGAAAAATATTTTTATATCCATAAGCTGGAACTTTTAGATCTAGTGTCTTAGTAACATAAGAATAAATAACTACCACTATACTGAGTTGAAACCCTCGTGATAACTGAAATCAAAATGATGATCTTTACTTTAAACTAGCGATTTTTTTTTTAATTATAAGGATTAAGATAATGATCCCTTTTTGGTACTTTTTGCTTGATCAAAATTCACCACAGTAGAATTATTCGGACATACATAATTGAAAGCCATGTAATTGGAAATACTTACAAAATAAATAATTTTTCTTCCACATTTAAAAAAATAATAATCGTTGTTTTGATGTAATTATTGAATAAAGTGATCTTATTTTTAGAAGAAGATAAGGCTTGCAAAGTAAGGAGTCTTTAAAGAATTGAAAAACATTAACCATCTTATAGAAAAAAACAACCAATGAAATTGAGGTAGTGAGACTAGCAGCAATTTTTATTTATCCCTAAGAAGATTACCCAGACTTCAAACAAACTATGACAGAAAAAATTTAAATGCCCAACGATCAACACTATACAAAACACAAGTCTAAGTAGATGTTTTATCAGACTAAGCCATAGGTAATCAAAAGTTTGATCAAAATTATTAAATAAAAATCAGAGAATTAGTCAGCTTAAGATCAGATTTGTGGGGCTATCGGTGTCTGTCAATTTATAAATGGTAGGAGTTGGGTTGGGTTTTTTGTTGACATAGGCAAGTTAAATCATTAGATGTAGTGGCATTCCTATAGGTCAGTAAATCAAAATCAAACGTAGATTCTAACACCCCCTTCTTAAAACATGAAATTTAGTGCAAGACTATAAAGAAATGCATGCTTTTTTTGACTATGCTAGAAAATTTCAAGATTTTTTGGTTTAATTAAAATTACAGATGTATTCATGGAGCACTCTTGTTCTAACAGTTTTCACAAAGATATCCAATAAAAGAATTCATTTATGGAGAAGGATGTGCATTTTTTTTCCAAAAATTACTCTATGGATCATGAGAAAAATCAGCTAATGTGAGGTATGTGATAAGAAATCTATTTTTATTTTATTAAATGCAATTTCTCCTTTGTCATATAGGGCCTACATTTCCTTAAAACATAAAGCAAAGAAACAATTGGATTATAGCATTATTTTTTAATTAATACACACTAAACAATGATAGAGTTAAAAAACAAATAATGACACTACAGTACAGGCCTAATAGATTTTTAAAATGGAAAAAATATTTACTAAAATCAGGGGTCTCCAAACTTTTCAGTCCGAGGGCCGCATTACCTAACAAATTTCAGTTCGGGGGCCAGTTTCTTCCAGGCATGTCTGATTTTTCTGGACAAAGTTCCTCAGCCATCATCAACAAACGTTTTTTTCCGTGAACAAAAAGAGCTCCGCGGGCCGGATGAGAGGACTTCGCGGGCCGCATCCGGCCCGCGGGCCGTAGTTTGGAGACCCCTGACTAAAATGATCACACGAAACCTATAATAAACAGGAAGCTTCCAAACAGTATTGACCAGCATTTCAGATTGGCATAGTCTCTATTTTACACTTTTTCATGGCCAGGAAATAAGTTATCAATTTTTTTTTTGGGAAGTCAATTATTTCAGGCACTAGGCAGGTTAAGTTAGTTTGGCGTTTTGAGAACTTATTATAATGGATAATCATACAGATCTAGGCCTACTTGCAATGAAATAAATTATAGGCAGATTCAAGTCAGAAAGAAAGATCTGCATACGCAATGGCAAGAAACCACCGCCTTCATTTGCAGTGACGTTTTTGATCGCACTTCGTAAATTATATTAAGAAATAATTTAAAACTATTTAAATTCAATGAGACATCTTAACATCTTACTTATAGGCCTACTAACTACTAACTAGCAGATTTCCACTTACCCCCCCCCCCCCCCCAATGAATCTATTTCCCAAATCATCATATTCTTAGTATTGATCAGTCCACTGTTTTTTTTTAAATATCTAGACTAGACCTAGAGTCTAGTGGGAGATCTAGAGGAGCTTACACTTTTCGGACACACATAGCGAAAAAACGCAACGTAAAAATTCCATGCGGTCTCATTCAGTAACCGCTTAACATAGAAAACAAAAAAAAGTATCATATCTATCCGCAACCATTCTACTTTAATAATGTGTGTGTCATTTTGTATTCATACGCATAGAACTTAAGCTATTCTTGTTATAGTGACTGGGGGGTCTTAACGTGTGTTCGAACACATGTAATACAGTTTTACGTGTGTTCGGACACCTTTACCCGTCATCGGACATAGCACTTTTTGTTCATTTAGAATAATTTAAAGTCAATTTAATGAATAAAAACATATATTATATGCATTTATATTGTGTTATTGATTGTTTGTGAGGTAATTTTAATAGTATAAAACCTTTTTCCCACACTCCCAAAGTTCATCCCATTCAGCCATTGCGGCTCGCGCAGTACGCTGCTAAGCCAGCCAGGTCACATGATTCCCCCTCCTCTTTCGCATTCCACTGCCTTCTTGACCTTATTTTGACCCTTTCCCTTCAATAACCAGCCCCTTTTATGCTCTAAATTCTTATTTAATAATATTTTTGTGTTGCTGTCCGATCCCATGTAAGGCCAAATAAGTTAGCGAACACCCCTTTTTTATTGTTCAAGCACGAAAAAACCCATTAACCTTGACATTTACGATGTTCCATACATATATAGAAGCTATTTATAGTATAACCTTTTAGCTAAGCATTGATTGGTTCAAGTTTTGCCCCTAAGTCCAACCCTAGGTCACTTCATCCGGCTGGTGTAAAAATAGAAATGTGCGTACCATGCAACGTTAAAAAATTTCTAAAAATAATTCTTGAGAAAGGAAACGGAAGTACTTGACACGGAAGTGTTCATAAATGAACAGTTTACGTGCAGGCGCCGTGGTTTCGCGTGAGACATGCTAATTAATAGGCCGGATTGTTGCTTATATGGCTGGATTGACCTCTGACCCTGAAACGTCACGCATCGTTTTTTGACGGTTTTTACGTTTATTTTAGGGGTCCTATCCACGACAAATGAAAAAACTGCTAATATCGCAAATTCTCATCATTATTTTAATGCGATATGCTAAATAAATGGACGCCATGCCTGAAAATAACCGAAAAAATCGCCAGATATGTGGTTTTAATTAATACACGCTATTCTTGTCAAGTACTCTTGGGAAAAACTGAACTGCCGCCTTAAACGGCCCAGTACATGGTCGAAACCCCCTGGTACAAATGCAGAAATATATAATTGAGATATTTTTAATGAGTAATTACAGTTATGTTGATTCGCCTTTTTTATATCGAATTTCCATATGAGGTACCCATGCAGACATTTCTGTCCGCTTTGTTTACTATCGTGACGTCATTGTTACGCTAGTTACCTCACAGAAACAACTCGTTTTTGTTTTTTGCGGAGTGAACTGTTAAGTCTAGTATTTTAATTATAATTCAATTGTAGCGTGTGCAGAAAAAGTAAAATTATGGAAATTATTTTTGTATTAGTAATTTTATTAGTATATTGATTTTTTCTTCACTGTGGGCCGACAGTAGCTGCATTGAATTTAATTCGTGACCGGTGGTTAACCTCGTCAACGCTGCGTGGCCTATTCGTTTATATAATTAGTGATGCTCGTTCAGTGGCCTTTTTCAGAGCTAGGCCTAATTACGGGCGTTTTTTAGACTTAATTGATCGGCCGTTAGCCCTTTTCATTGCTGCGTATTTTAAAAAATGCTCGTTCAGCGGCCTTTTTTTTTTTTTTTGGCGCTAAATAATCTGTTTACGGGCATTTTAAGCGTTTATTTATTTTTTTAAGCTAGACGTAGATCTAGTTTAAAAAATATTTTTTAATACAGCTGGCTGCAGGGGGGGGTGCAAATCGAAAGTTTGAGGGGGTGGGTGCAAATCGAAAATTTGAAAGAAAGTTTGTCCCCGGGAAGAGTCGCTACCCCTTTGGGGAGGGGGGGGGCTGACACCATTAAGTGCCGCACCGGGTGACACCCGACCTCGCTACGCCACTGGCTGGCTGTCTTGCATGCCTGATATGTGAACTTAAAAAAAAATGACCGAACTTTAAAAAAAAATGACCAGAAGTAGGGAAGTAGGTCTGTTTTTCAATTGGCTAGAGGGAGGGGGGGGGGGGGGAAAGAGAGAGAGAAGTGAAGACACCGACCATCTCGTGTACGCGTGTTCATGCTATGACGTGTACTATAGGCCTGCTGAACTCACGGTGACCCGCGACCGTGGTGGGATTTTTCATCCACAGGATAGTAAACGTAAGCAAGCAATCACGCGAGTGACGATGTTTGGAGATTTAAAAAAAAAAAAAATCACATACGTCATGTTTTCAAGATGAAAAAAAATGTAATGTAAAAAAAAAATACCATGTATGAACCTCAGCTGCCACACTGTTGACTCAATATAATGTGAATTGAGTGTAAAATGTATTTGTATTTATAAACGATCATAACTGTTACTATCATATTATTTTAAGCATATTTATTATTTATTATTTAAAATTAGAATTTGAAATAAAAATATTTATTATGGTCATTTGATTTATGCAGGTGTTCATTACTTCATAAAATGGTATGAATAACATGTAGAGTAGAATTTAATAAATAATAAAATAACTAGATCTAGTTTTATTATCAACCAGTTGCTTTTTGTTATTTTCCGGTGAGTAAATTACCTAAGCTGACGCAATTACCATGGCGGGAATTAAAAGCTCGTGTACACAAGTCGACGACGTCATGTTATGCCAAGAACGCTGTTTTGTCATTCATTTTCAATTTTGATTAATTTTCAAATTCTCTCTTTTCTCGTCAACCGAGTAAGCTAGATATTTAAATGTGGTGTCAAATGTTCTCTTAAGGGGTAAGGAACTTAATGGTGTATTTGAAATAACAGAATATTTTATTTTAAAAAATCCATAATTTAACCTACTAATTAAAGTTTCTATGAGCCAAAAACCGACGAAGTGTTCGGTCCTACGTAATTTTTGGTGTGTGTCCGAAAAGTGTAAACTCCTCTAGATCTTGTATTCTACTCTTGATCTGTAGATTCTAGATGTAGATCTAGAATCTAGATCTAGATTCTACAAGTATCTACAAAGTACAAGTGAAGTTCAGTCACTTGACTTGAGTTTCTCAAGTTTGTAGTGTCAGCAACATTAACTCAGTTATAAATTACGAACAAAACTAGTTATTAAAACATTTGAGTAATACAACGACAACATTGTTCTATTCTTAACACAACACATCTATATTTAATATATAGAGTCTTGATCTAAAACTACTTACCCTTGAACAAATAGTCATATTCGTCGTCTTTAGTACCCATTTTACTTTTATAAGAAAATACCTTCGCTTCCGCTTTGGAGATAGGTGTAAACAAACAGTTTTATGCCCCGGCTTTTGCAACCAGGGGCGTAAATATTATAAAATTTACGCTAAATAGTATGTTTTTAAACCAAATAATAAATATTAAATCCCAAAAACTGCAGATGGCGTTGATTTTTCATGTATAGAAAGGCCCAGTTTTAAGAATTTTTCCAAGTGAAAACAAATATGGCGGACGTTCAACGCCCCTAGTTTCATTGCGCATGAAAATGACGTCATATACGAACTAAAAGAATACCAGAGTTACTCCTCTTGATCAAAAAGAAACAAGTAGGCCTAGTCTTAGTGAAATTCCCATTCAATACTTAGGTCCTAGGGTCCTCTTAAAATTTTGATCGGAATAAAATATTTTGAAATAATAATAACTCTATGCAATTTAGAACTTGAAATATATTATACTTGCAGCAATCATTTCTTAGTGTAAATAAAACAAAAGGTATCACTAAATTATCACATCTGCTATTTAAAAGAAAAAAAGATTTGGCCCATTTTTATATAGATCTCCGAAGTACAGCCTACTAACTTACGTATTAGACATTATTTATTTATTTAATTATTCTAAAGCGTGAATTTTCGAGTTTTCCTTGGACTAACATAAACAGGGGTGTAGGCGATTCGAGAAAGAAATAAAATCGGCCCCTGATTCTGACTTGGATTTTTGATACACAAAATGACAAACAGGAAGGTTTAATTAAATAAACTCATTAAAAAAATTAAAGCACTATTATAATTGATCCATTACAGCACCTATCCTTGCCAGTGTTTCTTCCAGACTTTTTTCTCCCGGGGGGGGGGGGGGGGGGGGGCACTCGAAATTTTCGGGGGGGGGGGGGGGGCGGTAGACTTTCTTCGGGGGGGGGGGGGGAGGCGGACACTGTTTAAAGTATATATTTTCTATATAAATTATATAAATTTCATTTCGTTCGGGGGGGGGGGGGGGGGGGGTAGATGCCTGGAAGAAACTCTTATCGCGGTCTTCAGGAATTGTATCCTGTGTACCGACGGCACAGTCGACTCCTAACAATAAAGCATATTTACATTTGATTGAAGTAAAAACAGTTTTTCAGGATATTTCATGAAGTGGCGTCGCTAGGTCGGGTGTCACCTGGTGCGGCACTTCGGTGTCCACACCCCCAAGTCACAAAGTATATGTATATATATATATATTTATATATATATATAAATATACATATATATATATATATATATATATATATATATATATATATATATATATATATATATATATATATATATATATATATATATATATATATATATATATATATATTTATCTTTAGTCTGTTCATAATACAGTTGGATGTAGCATTGTTTTCTCTAGTAAGCTCGTTTACGTCATGGTGTCACCCCTACCCCATTGCAGAGGCGTAGCGAGGGGGGGGGGGGGCGGGGGGGGGGGGCGGACCGCACCGGGTGACACCATTTAGGGGGGGTGACACCAAGGCAAAAAAAAGCAAAATATATAGAGAAAAATTTGAGGGGGGGGGATGCAAATCGAAAGTTTGAGGGAGGGGGGGTGCAAATCGAAAGTTTTAGGTTTAGGGAGGGGGGTGCAAATCGAAAATTTTTCGCTACGGCCTTCGCCTTGCCGCACCGGGTGACACCCGACCTCGCTACGCCAATGCCCCATTGTAATAATAGTGGATTCTTACTTAAAAGACTATTTAGTTTTAATTAATCATTAATGGAACTGGCAAAAAAAGCATTTTTCTTATGTACGTTTTGCCTTTTTTTTTTGCCTTGGTGTCACCCCCCTAAATGGTGTTACCCGTGCGATCCGCGCCCCCCCCCCCCCCCCCCGCCCTCGCTACGCCTCTGATTTCATGTCAGGTCCCCGATTCATTGTCACGATAAACTTGCCCACGATTGTTAACAATCTATGTAGAATGGAGGCACCCGACATTTCTGTGATATGGTGCGCATGAGGGGGACTAGTATGTTAAGACATGTGACTAAATTAGCCCATAATTTGCATTGCTTGAGAATACAAATGATAAACAGAGATTTTTTTCGCTAACATAAATTGTGATAAACCCAAAGGATTTTTACTGGGCTACCGGTTGCAGAAATACTCGTAGCAACAGAGGACCGAGACAGACGGAGGGAAAATGTGAGAAAATCAACTGTAGTGTCCAGTGTTTCTTCCAGACTTTTTTCTCCGGGGGGGGGGGGGCACTTGAAATTTTCGGGGGGGGGGGGGGCGGTAGACTTTCTTCGGAGAGCGGACACTGTTAAAAGTATATATTTTCTATATACATTATATAAATTTCCAGATGCCTGGAAGAAACTCTGGTAGTGTCCCAACGACCCCAGTAATTTAAGGGGGCGATTGATTGAATGATTGACTGACTAAGTTCGGCAAAACATAATGCAGTAGGTACAAAGATGAAAAGAGAAATTACCAATACTGAACTCTGGAGAAAAACGCAAATGAAGATAGATTTGGACACACCTTGCGTAACCAACTAGCAACATCACCAGACAGGCATTAGATTGGAATCCTCAAGGAAAGCGGACAGTAGGTCAAAACAAACTTGGGAAAGGTCAGCTGTAAGAGAAGCAAAAGCAACCGGAATGAAATGGACCCAACTTGGAGGAATTGCAAAGCTATGTTTTTCCGACTGAGGTAGGTATAAAAAGTCGAGATTTGCAAAAAATTTGCACGAATACAATACTTTCTCTATACTCTGTATACGAGAAACTAAAAATGGATTAAAAATATTGTCTATAGGAGTCATTCATAAATGACGTCACGCTTTTTGCCTCCCCCCTCCCCTCCGTCACACAAAAAGCCAGACACCCCCCTAAAATGACGTCACACCTCAGCCTACAACCCCCCCCCTTCAAAACCCAAGCATTCTAAATGGCAGTATTAATTTTGGCGAAAAAAAAATAAGAACAAAGTAAACCAAAGGCAGCGTTATAATATACCTTATAATTACCAACCATAACCCGTTTAACATAAAATAAACAAAATAATAAACCATAATTAGTCCTTCATTGACGATTATTAAGCCACCAGTAGAACAAACTTCTTCTAACTGCACAAAGACCATTGTCTTTACTCTTGTATATATATATATATATATATATATATATATATATATATATATATATATATATATATATATATATATATATATATGCACATCGTGTAGTCGTTAATTTAACGGGAGACAACTTCCATTGGGGGGGGGGGGGGGTAAGGAGGTAGTGTGTGTATGTGCTTCTAACACTTCCTAGTACACTCTATGCCTTCGCCACTGATACCCCCCCCCCCCAATAATCGGTTGTGTATAATATCGCACAATCTTACTTTGCCAGTACGTACTCGTTGGCCAAGCTTAATGGTTCCTGAGATAAAAAGATTATCCAGTAATCTTAAGCCGGGGTAATCCTGCCATAATCTTAGCATTGAACAGGAGGGTAGTTTAAACTATTTAGCCCAGTAAGGGTATGCCTGCATACATAATACCCTACATAATATATGAAATCAGCATATTAAAACATTTTGACCCTAAATCTTTGTTTTAAAAGACACACAAACCCACACAAACAGATGCACACATTATTTACGTTGAGACAATTTACTATAAATGAAGGTAAAGAGACTCAATTATGCCGCTGCAACCAATACCACTAAGCAACAGCAACAACAAACAAACAAAACAACATTAAAAGAATTTTTATTAAATTTTTAACAAACAATACAAAAATTAATAGAAGATAACAGCCAACTATCGTGTTTTTAAAAAATGTAATGTAATTTAAATTCAATCATACGCTACTTAGACGTCGACATGGGGGTCGTCCACAAATGACGTCAAACTCGTTTAGGGGAGGGGGGGGGGGTCCGTAATTTTGTCACCCTGTGTGATGAGGGGGAGGGGAGGAGGGCTCAGATTGTGTTTTGCATTTTAAAAAAAGCAATGTTAGAAAACGAGTTTTAGCCGTTATTTCGCGTTTAGAAAATTGTTTTAATAAATTGTAACAGAAATTGATTAAAATACTCTATGTTGACAGCGTTCAGACTAGATTTTGGAAAAATATCGATCTTTTAAGAAAAATTCAACTTCAATTTTGAGGAGGTGGGGGGGGGGGGTTGTAGGCTGAGGTGTGACGTCATTTTAGTGGGGGGGGGGTCTGGCTTTTTGTGTGACGGAAGGGAGTTGGGGAGGTAAAAATCGTCAAAAAAGCGTGACGTCATTTATGGATGACCCCCCATGACTGCAGTATATAGTTAACTTTGATATAGCATAATAATTTTATATAGGCTTACATGTAAAATAGCGTCTACCGTTTCAGTTGAGCATACACTTACAATGACGAGACTAAAAAAAGAGAGAGTCAAGAGTAAAAAAAAACATCACAAGGAAAAAAGTCAAAATATTCTGGAATGCCATTATGTTAAACAGCGTCATGAGAGGTTGTTTCAGGCTTCTTCGGGGTCAGGGGTGTGGTGGAGAAGGGAGGGACCACCCCCCTCCCCCCAACAAGCACGTCTAAACTCCTCTGGACGAAATATAATTAATATATACAAAATATACGTTTCAACCAGTGTCCGCCTTCACTTGAAATTTAAGTCCCTCCCCCCTCCCGGATATGCTTCAAGATTCACCACCCATAGAAAAATGTCTGAAAGAAACACTGAGCGCTTCGGTAGAGTTGTAGACGTTTTTTTTAAAATTAATTTTAAAAGAAATTATGTTCATATTGGCGTCACAGCGTTCTACCTCCTATCCCGAGAATCTCAAGATACAACACTGCCCACTATGAAATTTAAATAATCGGGCGCCACTCAATGTAGATCTGTGCTGAGCCCACTCACACACATCGATGTTTTTATCAAGCGATGTGGCCCGCGGGCCGAGGAAATCTGCGGACAGCCGTGTTTGTTGTTCTTCGTGTTTCTCAGCGCGTCGAAGTGTTGACACTTTTATCGCGCTCGTCGCCATGAAGTTTGTATCGGAATGATAATGTAAACAACACACATGTAAATAAACAACACAGCGTGTTCAAAGTCCATCCTTGTTTTGTTTCGTTTGTTAAACTTTGATGTAGCCACTAAAGGCTAGCAAGGGCGGAGGGGGGGGGTGTGTGTTAAAGAGCGGTTGATGTAAGATGTCGGAGGATGTCTAGGCAATTAGATTATCTATTTAATGCCCCCCGGGGGGGGGGGGCATTTGATTCTTCCGACCGGTGTGTGTGTGTGTGTGTGGGGGGGGGGGGAATATTGGTGAAAGCATATTTTCTAAAGAAATTAGAGTATCTATTTTCTTCCGGAAGAGGGGGGGGGGGAATGGACGTTCTACCAATTATAAAGGCGTTAGGTAAAAAGATAATGAATTGCCCATGCATTGTAATTCTTCTCTCGGCCCTTGCTGGTGGTAGTGGTAAGGTCCAAAGAAAACAAGAGAAATCTGTTTCATTAGGACTTTTCTAGGTGTCTCATATTCCACATATGGGGACCAGCGATTAATTCGGTCGTTTTTCTCCAAGGAGGGGCGCACATACATTTTGTGGGGGAGGGGGGGGGGGGCGACAACATTGATTAAGTATATATTTCCCTTAACAAGCCGATTATCCTTGTCAGTTTCCCCCACCAAACACGAGCAAAGTCTCTACTACCATTACTAAATGTTGCTAACAAAGTCTCTATTACCATTACTAAATGTTTCTAACAAACTCTCTATTACCATTACTAAATGTTTCTAACAAAGTCTCTACTACCATTACTAAATGTTGCTAACAAAGTCTCTACTACCATTACTAAATGTTTCTAACAAACTCTCTATTACCATTACCAAATGTTTCTAACAAACTCTCTATTACCATTATTAAATGTTTCTAACAAAGTCTCTACTACCATTACTAAATGTTTCTAACAAAGTCTCTACTACCATTACTAAATTTTTCTAACAAAGTCTCTACTACCATTACTAAATGTTGCTAACAAAGTCTCTACTACCATTACTAAATGTTTCTAACAAAGTCTCTACTACCATTACTAAATGTTGCTAACAAAGTCTCTACTACCACCATTACTGAATGTTTTAACACTTAAATTTCTAAAACAAACATCAAAAAGTAGGAATTTGGAAAAAAACCCAGTTTAGTACAGAAAACCATGTTTATTTTAATTTTAGAAAATAAACGTTTATACACGCATTGCATCTATCAGGTTTAGATGTTGGCCAAAATGACCAACATTTTTAAAGATGACACATCCCAGTTAAAAACACAAACTAAAAAAAGTAAGAAAAAGAAATAAAAGTATTTAACAAGTTGGATCCAAATAGAGGGCCCTGTAAAATCATGCAGGAGTTAAATGAAAAAGTAGGATCTTGTAAGGGTGAAAATAAGAATAGTTTTATATAGCACACTATTTAATTATCATCCAATGATTTTTGGACTACAGTTTTTAGGATATAAAGGTTCACTGTATATAAACATAAATACAATAATTCAACTCAGTGGCGTAGCGAGGTCGGGTGTCACCCGGTGCGGCACTTAATGGTGTCACCCCCCCCCCCCCAGAGGCATAGAGACCCTTCCCAGGGACAAACTTTCAAATTTTCGATTTGCACCCCCCCCCCCCTCAAACTTTCGATTTGCACCCCCCCCCCCCTCAAACTTTCGATTTGCACCCCCCCCTCGAGTTTTTCTCTATATATTTTGCTATTTTTTGCCTTGGTGTCACCCCCCTAAATGGTGTCACCCGGTGCGGTCCGCACCCCCCGCCCCCCCCCCTCGCTACGCCCCTGATTCAACTACAGAATGAAAAAGAAAATATTTCAATAATATGATTTACAGTGGTGGGCCTTGATTTGATAAGCAGTATTAGCAGTCTAAAATCTGACTACATACTGACTTGTACAAAAAAGGGTAGAAATTTACTAAGAGTTAATGTAATTTCAAGTGCACTAAAATAAGAGAAAAAAAATATCTGAACAAAGGCTAAATACAATAAGAAAGTAAAAAAAATTATGAGAAATGTAATTACAATAACAAAACAGACAAGATGATCACAGATGATCAATTAGTATGCAGCTAAGCAGTACAAGAACCTGATACACCACCAAGCTAACGCACAACAGATCTGAGTTTGAATACTGTTCATGGTAGGATTTCAACCACGTTCACACAGCTTCAATAGGCACCTATCATAAGTACTTCATCTACCCAATGAATCGCTAGGTCTAAAGAGAATTTTTTTTTTATACTTAGTACTTCAACAGGCATGTGCACATATATACTTGTAATGACCTATGACCCATACAGGTCTTGGTACTAAGGTTTACATACACACAGATCTATCCATATGACACCTTGTTAGCCAAACCTACATATAAAAAAAACATAAAAATATCATTGATATAATAATAGATGGATACTTCTCCTAATGGGTCCTATAATAAAGCCCTTACCACCATGCTGTTTAAACTAATTAAACACATAGGACCAGGTTTTAAGGTTCAAAAGTTAAATTACTACAAGTATTTATGTACAAAAGAATGAGCAGAAATCTGTCATGACTTCAAATAAAATCAGTTCAAAAAACCAACACCCACAGCAGCCACTCATGATACAACTTGTCTTGATGACAAATAAATTTGGGTCTGAGCTTTGCTATGCTTAAAAATCTGCCTCACAATTATAAAGATAATTATTTTTTATACATGAATATATGCTAATTCACTTGAGTTCCTGTCTTGGCCCAATTGAGTTGGTAATATTTTAAAAACAATTTTGGGAAAAAATTTGAATTTGAGCCTAACAATGCCTAAAAATCTGGTTCATTTTATAAAGGGGAAATAAATCTCACTTTAAAAACTCTGATTTAAATGTTCTGCGTTTCTTTGTATTTTCAACGACATTTCAGAATTTTTGGGTGAAATTTGCAAATGTTAAAATATTTGATAAAAACCTATAAAATAACAAAATAATTCATACAGATCTAACATATTTTAAATTCAAAATATTTTCCCACAACACAATTTAAGAAAATGCCCTGGCTTTATCATAAGATGAAACAAATCACCTCTTTTAAAATGTAGCATGTCAATAATGGTAAAAATCTGGATTAAACAACAAAATTTACTACACATTCCAAACAAAGTTTTAAACAAAAAACTGGGCTAAAACAAAAGGTAAAAAGAGCATATGAGCCTGCCGTTTCTGTGGATTTATGAAACAGCAAAAAATGTAATTGCCCTTTGGCCATAAAACAAATGAGGTGTAATCCACAACAACAACAGCGTGAAACATGATAGTCCAACATTAACAGCTAATTATAAAAATGTGCGTTGTTCTGCCTGTTAAAAATGTACGGCTGATCAAGTAGTCTATATCACAATGCCAAGTTTAAAATATAATGCATATTTTGAGTTTTGCTCAAAGAGAAAAAGATATAGTCACAAACATTTATATTTATAAATATCTATATGTACACACCAAATTAACATTGCTTAGAAACTGTCATATTTCATAAATCCAAGTAAAAAACACACTGATTTGAAATATTGACAACTATAGTAAACAACAATTTAGTTGTAATTTTTACTTATAAGCTATCTGTTAATTTGTTGAGGATAAAAATAGACAATTAATAATAAACAATGAATTGAACAAAAAATATTGTGTGGGTATTTATAATACATTGGTTTAAAATATTCAAAATATTCTTCAAAACCTGTAGGTCTTTCAGTGTCTTTGCAAACTACACAGATCCTCAGTTATATCATTACACAAACACTGATACAAGTCATAGCTACAAAAACATCTTCATGTTACAATACAGCTGATCAGAAATGTAACAAAGAGTTGACATATACTAAGGAAATATCTAATTTATTTTACAATACTATACTTTACCTACACTCTTTTACCCAAGAAACATAAAGGAAAAATGATGACGATATTTTATCCCATGTAAAGTAAAAATGCTTTAAATCATGCTCAGTAGGCCTACATAATGACGAGGCGAAAATTCAGTTGAATAAATTATTTTAAATACTTATGCCTTAGATCATGCTCAGGCTAAAAAAGTAGGCCTACATAACAAAGAGGCGGAAATTCCGTTACTAAAATTATTTTAAATACTTATGAGGTACAAAAACTAAACAACACACTGGTACAATCTTATCAAATCTAGCTAAATGATAACTTTCTTGACAGATTTTAGTATCTCTAGCACTGAGATGATGATCTTAAATGTCAAAAACACTCATCAAGTTGAATAAAAAAAACAAAATTAATAAAGACCTTAATTATTATCAAGAAATTAAAAACAAAAATCATGAAAAAAAACCTAGCACTGTTTGTGATCAAACCATACACCATTCTAATAATATACACAGGGCAAGTGAATAAAGTTTAACATTAGTCTATTTATTTACAAGTCATTAACAAAAGTCAGTACTTTGTACTAAGTACCAAAAAACTAAAAATGTGTTTAAACAGCTCTCAACCCAGACTAAACAGCAACAAGGTGGAGAATACAAATTGGGTCTCTGCTTTTTTGTGGGGATATTCCCACAATACATCACACTGCCTAGTATGGATAGTGGGGCCAGTTTGGTTGGGTACAAACTATGGTGATGATCCGGGATACAGAAATAAAAACTTTTGGGTTATCAAGTATGAGTTCTACCAATAGTTTGTGTATGAGTTCTACCAATAGCCCATGTATGAGTTCTACCAATAGCCCATGTATGAGTTCACCAATAGTTTGTGTATGAGTTCTACCAATAGTCCATGTATGAGTTCTACCAATAGCCCATGTATGAGTTCTACCAATAGCCCATGTATGAGTTCACCAATAGTTTGTGTATAAGTTCTACCAATAGACCATGTATGAGTTCTACCAATAGCCCATGTATGAGTTCTATGAATAGTCCATGTATGAGTTCTACCAATAGCCCATGTATAAGTTCTACCAATAGCCCATGTATAAGTTCTACCAATAGTCCATGTATGAGTTCTACCAATAGCCCAAGTATAAGTTCTACCAATAGCCCATGTATGAGTTCTACCAATAGCCCATGTATGAGTTCTATGAATAGTCCATGTATGAGTTCTACCAATAGCCCAAGTATTAATTCTACCAATAGCCCAAGTATGAGTTCTACCAATAGTCCAAGGTGACCTCCCATTAATTAACTACAACTTGAGATTAAAAACTGCTTATGTACATACAGTATTTACATTTCTGGCATTTCCTTTACAAGATTTTACACCATTCACACATAAGTGATGTTAGTACATGAATCTAAGTAGTGTACAACTTTCATTTGCCTTGGCCAAAAATAATTGTTGATTATTCTGCGTCATCCATAATGAGCCTTTTCGGGGACGAGTGTTATTTAACAGACCAAATTGCTAAACTAATATAAACTTTGGCATAGAATCTTGGGTTATTTTACACCCGAAGTAAAGATGGACAACTTTTTGTTGGCATTTAATTGAGGGAATTCATGGATGAGGTTTTTCTTTTACCAAAATTGGTATGTGAAAATACATTATAGTAATAAAAAGGCCTACATTTAAATGTAATGTACAAAGTACCGGTTGTGTTTAAAGCACTGTTTGTAGAAAACAGGGATGATTAACATTGGCTGGGGAAAAAAAAAATACACAAAAGTGGATGAGAATAATTTGGCCATAAAAACACAAGACAACAGGGTTGGTTTATATTGCTGTTACAGTAAAACAGCTGAAGTAAGTACATGTGTAGACTGCCACAAAGACAAATATTTTTATACTGCTACGACTAGTCGACAGCTCATTAATACATCATGTGTTACAATGGCTTCTTTGTCTATTAAAATAATAATTGGCATAAGATTTTTTTTTTTAAATTTACATCTTCACACGCTACATATATAATCTTTTATCTTATCCGGCAAGGGTAGACATTTGGTGTAGCACCATACATGCCCCCCGAGACACTGCCTCAGGCATAGCTTGCTGATCTGCAGGAGACTGGGGACCCTGGAGTTAAAGGCCTCGAGTTCTTTCTGCAGCGCTGCTGTGTTCTCCATCATTCCAATCTGCCTGATGTGCTGGTGCCAGCGCTCAAGGCAAGGTCGGGGTATGACCGGGCACACGTCTCTGAACAGCTGAATCAGGTTGTTGAAGTTTGGAGCGTACGTGTGGACCCCTAATCTTCTTGTTAAGCTTGACTGGAATAAGCATTTAATATAAGTGAAAAATTTTAAATTTTTTTAATATAAGTGAAAAAAAAATGGGACGGAGTGGTCTAGCGGTAGAGAGCTGGACTACTAACCCGCTAGTCTCGAGTTCGAATCCGGGTTCAAGTCAGTAGACCGTCCCTGAGTCCACCCAACTCTGATGGGTACCTAACTCACGTTTGGGAGAGTAAAGGCGGCTGGGCATAGTGCTGACCACACTATCTCTTCATATGCCGAGGTCACAGAAACAAGTGAACTCTACTTCACTTGCCCCATAGACCGTCAGGTTTGAAAGGGAAACTTTACTTTTTACTTTATAAGTGAAAAAAAGTTTCACAGTTGGTAGTTTAATTAACAAAAAAAAAATCTTACCTACAGCTGATATAAACATTTAAATGAGGAAAACCACGTTATTAAGTAGAGCTCAATGTGAAATAAACATTTATATAAAGGGAAAATCTTATTAAGTACAGATGAAATAAATATTTAAATAAAGAGAAACAAATCTTCTTGTTATTGTTATTTTTTAAAAGAAAATTTTCAGTCATCATTATTCATTTGAAAGTTGTAATAGTGTTCAAATTTACTCTTAAACTCAGCAAATTAAGGGATTTGTCGTCAACATGAAACCCAGCCATCTTTACTATCATAGACTAGACTCAGTACTCATATTCAAGGACATTCTATTATTTCAATCTCATATACCAGGGGTCAGCGTGGTCGAGTCAGTAAAGCTCATGGTTGCTAAACTGAAAAGTCTCGAGTTCGAACCCTCGGGCAGAGGAGGCTCGTTAACCGGGGACAGCCACTCTTCTAGGAGAGACAACTCCAAAATCAAACAACTGCTGACTTGTAGTTTGTTCTCGGTCGGACAAAGGCTATGGAAGCAAATCCAAAAAGAAAAGCAGGCTGAAATCGGAGTCAAAGTTCTAAATGGCGCATAACCAGTTGACGTGTATACATAATTGTGATGAAGGGAATCCCTTCCAACACTAAAATTAAGAATGAAGAAGAACCTCATATTTCAAATCTTTTGGGTAGCAGTTGAATGCTGTACATTTGACCAAGCAGCCCTATATTTATTATAGTAAAATAACATTTACAACATAATTAAACGCCAACCAGCGTTAGACCCCGTACTTACATTGTATTGTTCACGAATCTCGAAGACTGCTCCCCCACAAATTAAAGCTTTGGCTGTTAAAAGTCTCTTGGCTTCCAGTTCTGGTTCCAGGGAGGGGGCCTTCAACAACATCAGTAGCTCATAGCACAGTGGACTCAGGCCTGTATTGGGAATCATGTTCATTAGACTTAAGCTAGATTGGCATAGAGTAGGGTACAGGGAGGGGGGGCCTTCAACAACATCAGTAGCTCATAGCACAGTGGACTCAGGCCTGTATTGGGAATCATGTTCATTAGACTTAAGCTAGATTGGCATAGAGTAGGGTACAGGGAGGGGGGGCCTTCAACAACATCAGTAGCTCATAACACAGTGGACTCAGGCCTGTATTGGGAATCATGTTCATTAGACTTAAGCTAGATTGGCATAGAGTAGAGGGATTGTCTCAGGTGCATAATGCTTTAAAATGATTAAGGGATGGTATGAATAGTTCATTAGACTAAAGCTAGATTGGCATAGGGTAGAGGGATAGTCTCAGGTGCATAATGCTTTAAAATGATTAAGGGATGGTATGAATAGTTCATTAGACTAAAGCTAGATTGGCATAGGGTAGAGGGATAGTCTCAGGTGCATAATGCTTTAAAATGATTAAGGGATGGTATGAATAGTTCATTAGACTAAAGCTAGATTGGCATAGGGTAGAGGGATAGTCTCAGGTGCATAATGCTTTAAAATGATTAAGGGATGGTATGAATAGTTCATTAGACTAAAGCTAGATTGGCATAGGGTAGAGGGATAGTCTCAGGTGCATAATGCTTTAAAATGATGTAGGGATGGTATGAATAGTTCATTAGACTAAAGCTAGATTGGCATAGGGTAGAGGGATAGTCTCAGGTGCATAATGCTTTAAAATGATTAAGGGATGGTATGAATAGTTCATTAGACTAAAGCTAGATTGGCATAGGGTAGAGGGATAGTCTCAGGTGCATAATGCTTTAAAATGATTAAGGGATGGTATGAATAGTTCATTAGACTAAAGCTAGATTGGCATAGGGCAGAGGTATAGTCTCAGGTGCATAATGCTTTAAAATGATGTAGGGATGGTATGAATAGTTCATTAGACTAAAGCTAGATTGGCATAGGGTAGAGGGATAGTCTCAGGTGCATAATGCTTTAAAATGATTAAGGGATGGTATGAATAGTTCATTAGACTAAAGCTAGATTGGCATAGGGTAGAGGGATAGTCTCAGGTGCATAATGCTTTAAAATGATTAAGGGATGGTATGAATAGTTCATTAGACTAAAGCTAGATTGGCATAGGGTAGAGGGATAGTCTCAGGTGCATAATGCTTTAAAATGATTAAGGGATGGTATGAATAGTTCATTAGACTAAAGCTAGATTGGCATAGGGCAGAGGTATAGTCTCAGGTGCATAATGCTTTAAAATGATTAAGGGATGGTATGAATAGTTCATTAGACTAAAGCTAGATTGGCATAGGGCAGAGGTATAGTCTCAGGTGCATAATGCTTTAAAATGATTAAGGGATGGTATGAATAGTTCATTAGACTAAAGCTAGATTGGCATAGGGCAGAGGTATAGTCTCAGGTGCATAATGCTTTAAAATGATTAAGGGATGGTATGAATAGTTCATTAGACTAAAGCTTGATTGGCATAGGGCAGAGGTATAGTCTCAGGTGCATAATGCTTTAAAATGATTAAGGGATGGTATGAATAGTTCATTAGACTAAAGCTAGATTGGCATAGGGCAGAGGTATAGTCTCAGGTGCATAATGCTTTAAAATGATGTAGGGATGGTATGAATAGTTCATTAGACTAAAGCTAGATTGGCATAGGGCAGAGGTATAGTCTCAGGTGCATAATGCTTTAAAATGATGTAGTGATGGTATGAATAGTTCATTAGACTAAAGCTAGATTGGCATAGGGCAGAGGTATAGTCTCAGGTGCATAATGCTTTAAAATGATTAAGGGATGGTATGAATAGTTCATTAGACTAAAGCTAGATTGGCATAGGATAGAGGTATAGTCTCAGGTGCATAATGCTTTAAAATGATGTAGGGATGGTATGAATAGTTCATTAGACTAAAGCTAGATTGGCATAGGGTAGAGGGATAGTCTCAGGTGCATAATGCTTTAAAATGATTAAGGGATGGTATGAATAGTTCATTAGACTGTAGCTAGATTGGCATAGGGCAGAGGTATAGTCTCAGGTGCATAATGCTTTAAAATGATTAAGGGATGGTATGAATAGTTCATTAGACTAAAGCTAGATTGCCATAGGGTAGAGGTATAGTCTCAGGTGCATAATGCTTTAAAATGATTAAGGGATGGTATGAATAGTTCATTAGACTAAAGCTAGATTGGCATAGGGTAGAGGGATAGTCTCAGGTGCATAATGCTTTAAAATGATTAAGGGATGGTATGAATAGTTCATTAGACTAAAGCTAGATTGCCATAGGGTAGAGGTATAGTCTCAGGTGCATAATGATTTAAAATGATTAAAGGATGGTATGAATAGTTCATTAGACTAAAGCTAGATTGGCATAGGGTAAAGGTATAGTCTCAGGTGCATAATGCTTTAAAATGATTAAGGGATGGTATGAATAGTTTATTAGACTAAAGCTAGATTGGCATAGGGTAAAGGTATAGTCTCAGGTGCATAATGCTTTAAAATGATTAAGGGATGGTATGAATAGTTCATTAGACTAAAGCTAGATTGCCATAGGGTAGAGGTATAGTCTCAGGTGCATAATGATTTAAAATGATTAAGGGATGGTATGAATAGTTCATTAGACTAAAGCTAGATTGGCATAGGGAAGAGGTATAGTCCCAGGATCACAATGCTTTAAAATGATGTAGGAACTGTTTGCAAACTGGGGGGAACTCATTTAATTTGAAGTCATATTTTTGGGGGCCCTTTTGTCCGGAGCCGAATGGGACGAGTGACACTATATTGGCAGCCTTAATGTAATTGTTTTTCTCTTTTTTTTCCAAAACAAAAATATTCTACATCATAAACATTTTAAAAAGTTATACCTTAGGCATTTAAAAGCAATATACTTGTGCATTTAAATCAAGTCCTACAACCAGGTATTTAAAAAAAAAAATCAACATCTTAACTTTAGGCATTTGAAAGTAGTATACCTGAGCATTTAAATCAAGTCCTACACCGAGGTATTTAAAAAAAAATCAACATCTTAACTTTAGGAATTTGAAAGTAGTATACCTGAGCATTTAAATCAAGTCCTACACCGAGGTATTTAAAAAAAAATCAACATCTTAACTTTAGGAATTTGAAAGTAGTATACCTGAGCATTTAAATCAAGTCCTACACCCAGGTATTAAAAAAAAATCATCATCTTAACTTTAGGAATTTAAAAGCAATATACCTGAGCATTTAAATAAAGCAAAAAAATAGCACACACACCAGGCCATTTAAAAATTCTACATCTCAGCATTGAAAACAAAATTTGAAACCTCAGACCACAAAAAAAAAAAAAATAAAAAAAAAAAAATTAAAAAAAAATAAAAAAAAAAACAAAAAAAAACTAGCAAACAACCCTTACCTTGTGAATCCTCAATGTTGGCAGACAAGCCGTGCCTTAAAATCTTCTCCACCAGGACATTTAAAAATTCTACATCTCAGCATTGAAAACAAAATATGAAACCTCAGACCACAAAAAAAACAACAAAAAAAAACAACAAACTAGCAAACAAGCCTGACCTTGTGAATCCTCAATGTTGGCAGACAAGCCGTGCCTTAAAATCTTCTCCACCAGGACGTGCCTGAAGCTAGCAAACAACCCTTACCTTGTGAATCCTCAATGTTGGCAGACAAGCCGTGCCTTAAAATCTTCTCCACCAGGACGTGCCTGAAGCTAGCAAACAAGCCTTACCTTGTGAATCCTCAATGTTGGCAGACAAGCCGTGCCTTAAAATCTTCTCCACCAGGACATGCCTGAAGCTAGCAAACAACCCTTACCTTGTGAATCCTCAATGTTGGCAGACAAGCCGTGCCTTAAAATCTTCTCCACCAGGACGTGCCTGAAGCTAGCAAACAAGCCTTACCTTGTGAATCCTCAATGTTGGCAGACAAGCCGTGCCTTAAAATCTTCTCCACCAGGACATGCCTGAAGCTAGCAAACAACCCTTACCTTGTGAATCCTCAATGTTGGCAGACAAGCCGTGCCTTAAAATCTTCTCCACCAGGACATGCCTGAAGCTAGCAAACAAGCCTTACCTTGTGAATCCTCAATGTTGGCAGACAAGCTGTGCCTTAAAATCTTCTCCACCAGGACATGCCTGAAGCTAGCAAACAACCCTTACCTTGTGAATCCTCAATGTTGGCAGACAAGCCGTGCCTTAAAATCTTCTCCACCAGGACGTGCCTGAAGCTAGCAAACAAGCCTTACCTTGTGAATCCTCAATGTTGGCAGACAAGCCGTGCCTTAAAATCTTCTCCACCAGGACATGCCTGAAGCTAGCAAACAAGCCTTACCTTGTGAATCCTCAATGTTGGCAGACAAGCCGTGCCTTAAAATCTTCTCCACCAGGACATGCCTGAAGCTAGCAAACAACCCTTACCTTGTGAATCCTCAATGTTGGCAGACAAGCCGTGCCTTAAAATCTTCTCCACCAGGACATGCCTGAAGCTAGCAAACAAGCCTTACCTTGTGAATCCTCAATGTTGGCAGACAAGCCGTGCCTTAAAATCTTCTCCACCAGGACATGCCTGAAGCTAGCAAACAAGCCTTACCTTGTGAATCCTCAATGTTGGCAGACAAGCCGTGCCTTAAAATCTTCTCCACCAGGACATGCCTGAAGCTAGCAAACAAGCCTTACCTTGTGAATCCTCAATGTTGGCAGACAAGCCGTGCCTTAAAATCTTCTCCACCAGAACATGCCTGAAGCCACGGTTCAGCACCTTCTCCTCCAATACAAACCTGTCCTCCATCATCCACACCTCAGTGCGGGTTGCCAGGGGGTTGGCACAGGTGAGAATGTGCAACACTGAAAAATGTTTGAAGAAGTAAAAATAAAAATGTTCATTTTCTAAGAAAATTTAGTTTAATTTTTTAACTTAACTCGTGTTGGATAATTAGTTAACGTGAATATTCATCTTGTATCTATCAGAGAGTATTAAACTATTAGTGTAGGAAAATCAGATTGTAAATGAGTTGGCTTTAGAGCAGGGGTCTCTCCTCCGGCCCGCGGAGATCTTTTTGTCCACGGAAAAAACGTTTGTTGGTTCTGCCTGAGGAACTTTGCCCAGAAAAATCAAAGACATGCCTGGAAGAAACTGGCCCCTGAACTGAAATTTGTTAGTTAATGCGGCCCTCAGACTGAAAAGTTTGGAGACCCCTGCTTTACAGCAAGATCATACAGTGTGCTGGCAGGAAGTAGCGCGGTGTGGTCAGATGGTAGAACATACAACTGCTAAACCTAAAGTCTTGAGTTTGAATCCCAAGTTCAAGTAAGTAGAACATCCCTTAGTCTACCCAGCTCTGGTAGGTACTTTACTCAAGTTAGGGAAAGTAAAGACAGCTGGGTATAGAACTGACAAACCTATCCCTTCATTTGCAGAGGACACAGAAAAAAGTGGAATCTACTTCAGCTGCTTCACGAACCATCAGTTTTAAAAAGGGTACTTTACTTTTTGGAGAGAGTTATATATTAATGTATATACTTGCTTGTCTATAATTAAAAAAAAACAACTTATACTGAGATATGACTTTAACATTTTAGCAGAGAATTTTCTCCAAAGGATAAAAATAATTTCCCAGTAAAATATAAAGAAAGTTACATCTTTGATAAAAAGCCAAAAGCCTTTTCAATGCAAAACTAGGATTAAACAATGCAAAGAATTTTAAAACAAAATCTCTTTTCTGTAACTACACTGTCTTTTTAAAAATAGAACAAGATTAGATTACATGGAGCAGATTTCATGTCGTTAAAGGGAGGCTAATCGAGGGAATAATTTCAAGAATAATAACTACAAAGAGGACTGACAGCTTTAACTTAATATAGTTTTTATAAGACGTTTTTAAAAATTTTTGTATCACCTTGCTTTGTTTAGTAAAATCTTAGGACGCTCAAATGTGTAAGAGTGAACAATGCTTCTACTAAAACAAGTAAGTTTGGGGTACTTTTTTTATTTTCAGTGCAATTAAAGCTTATTATGATAAAAGAATTTTTATATGTTTTTCTCTCTACTTTTTAATAATTATGAATTTAAAAAATTAAAATGAATAAGATGATGTCGACATTTCAGTTTAATGAAAACCAATCAATGAATGTAACTGTAAAGGCTGAACCAAATTGCTGCATTAAAAGTGAGTTACAAGATTAGCTAGACAGACAAAGTAACCTTTGTAATTGCTTAAAATATAAAAAGTGATGCATTTGTATCTTCTAAAATTAATAAATATGTAAATATTGTTGTTCAAGGATGTCTGTTGTCATAATGCTACGCCACCTGACTGTTTTCTTTCATTCGTGCAGGAGACTATGGGGTCAGCGTGGTCGAGTCGGTAAAGCTCGTGGTTGCTAAACCAAAAAGTCTCGAGTTCGAACCCTCGGACAGATGAGGCTAGTTAGCTGGGGACAGCCACTCTTCTAGGAGAGACAACTCCAAAATTAAACAACTGCTGCCTTGTAGTTTGTTCTTGGTTGGACAAAGGCTATGGAAGCAAATCCAAAAAAGAAAAGCAGGCTGAAATCGGAGTCAATGGCCTCAATGGCGCATAACCAGTTGACACGTAACGCTTAATTGTGTTGGAGGCGTGGTCGAGTCGGCAAAAAGCTCATGATTGTGAAATTCGAACAAAGTTTCGAGTTCAAACCCACTGGCAGATAAATCTCGATCCCTTTCAACACTAATAATTAAGAACGAAGAAAAAGAAGAAGAAAGAAGAAGTTCATTGTTCAAGGATGTCTGTTGTCGTAATGCTACACTACCTGACTGTTTTCTTTCATTGGTGCAGGAGACAATGGCCCCGGCCTCTAAGAGGAGATCAACAATGTCACATGTACTGTTATGGGCTACTTTACATGCCGTCATCAAAGGTGTTTCTGTTCACACAGAGAAAAATATTGTTAGCTCATATTTTACACAATCGAAATGTTAAAACAAAAATTAATAAATTTAAAAAAAAAATTACTTGAGAGATAAGGTAAAAATTATTTTAAAGAGCTAAGTTTTATTATTTTGAATTATTTAATAATGACTGGGTCTATAAAATTCATTACTTTGAATATAATCATATCTAAAAGTAGCTTAAAGTCTTATATTATTCTATAATGAACCCATTTAGGCACTAAACAAATAATTACTTGTGACCATTTGAATGAATTCAAGTAGCGAATTGTATTAGTGTTGTTACTAAGATTGGTGTGTGGACTAAATTTTATTTTAAAGCAGTTGCTTAGGTTTAAAGTAAAATTAAATATAACTTTTACTCGGTCCTTTAAATGTGTTTGAATAGAAATATAAAGGATGTTGAATGGTAATTTTTCCTTGGTTGAAACTATAGACAAAATCAAATTATACACTCAGACCTCCAAACAAACAAAAATTGGTATGAACATAGCATAACATACCCCAGCACACCATTTGACTTATTATAACATATACAAGCACACCATTTGAGTTATTATAACATACACAAGCCTTTTAGACTTTAACTTATTATAACATACTCATATAACCCTTGAGCTTACAATAACATACTCAGATAACCCTTGAGCTTAGAATAACATACTCAGATAACCCTTGAGCTTAGAATAACATACTCAGATAACCCTTGAGCTTAGAATAACATACTCAGATAACCCTTGAACTTAGAATAATATACTCAGATAACCCTTGAACTTAGAATAATATACTCAGATAACCCTTGAGCTTAGAATAACATACTCAGATAACCCTTGAACTTAGAATAATATACTCAGATAACCCTTGAGCTTAGAATAACATACTCAGATAACCCTTGAACTTAGAATAATATACTCAGATAACCCTTGAACTTAGAATAACATACTCAGATAACCCTTGAACTTAGAATAATATACTCAGATAACCCTTGAACTTAGAATAATATACTCAGATAACCCTTGAACTTAGAATAATATACTCAGATAACCCTTGAACTTAGAATAATATACTCAGATAACCCTTGAACTTAGAATAATATACTCAGATAACCCTTGAACTTAGAATAATATACTCAGATAACCCTTGAACTTAGAATAACATACTCAGATAACCCTTGAACTTACAATAACATACTCAGATAACCTTTGAACCTAAATGACAAATCAACCCACCCAGGTAGTTGTCTGTTAGGTTGACGTCCGCGCCAGCTTGGACCAGCAGCTCCACGGCTGTGGCGTTTCCGTGGAGACACGCAGTGTGCAGGGGTGAGCAGCCCACATTGTCCTGGGCGTTGGGGTTGGCACCAAAGAACAATAAAACACCCACAATCTTGTCACAGGCTGCTTCAAGGAAATTGCATGGAAGGCATTTTCTTGGGATAACATTTACAAATGGATATTTTAAATACAATAATCACACCAGTTCTTCGTGGAATGCCATAAAAATATGTTTTGGAAATTCTATTCTTTGAAGTTATCTACTGAATAGTAATAAGTTAAAAAAAGAAAGCACACATGCAAAATTTAGACAATGTAGATCCCAAAGAGTAAAGTTACTTCTTTGAACCTGACAGTCTAGGGGGCAGATGAGTTAGTTCACCTGTTTCTGTAAGGGTTAGTTCTTTACCCTGCTCGCTTTACTTTTTCAAACAGGCACATATCCATCAGAACTATATGCTCTATACCCTAAGAGCTTTTTGTTTTCCTAACAGGAAACTGCCATCAGAACTATAGACTATATCCTGGTGGTTCTACTTTTTCTAGCAGGCACATATCCATCAGAACCATATACTCTATACCCTGTGGGCTTTACTTTTTCTAGCAGGCACATATCCATCAGAACTATATACTCTATACCCTGCTAGCTTTACTTTTCCTAGCAGGCACATATCCATCAGAACCATATACTCTATACCCTGCTGACTTTACTTTTTCTAGCAGGCACATATCCATCAGAACTATATACTCTATACCCTGTGGTTTTACTTTTTCTAGCAGGCACATATCCATCAGAACTATATACCTAGCAATTGCGCACTCTACCACACCATCCCATATAGATCCAACTTGCAACTCAGATATTATTTAGCTACTACATTCTTACCGGCTCCTTCCACAGCCAGGTGTAAAGGTGTTTGTCTATTGCCAGGTTTTTTGAAGAAATTCGGGTCAACGCCTCTGTTAAGAAGTGTTCGGACTTTCTGTATTGAATGTGACTTAATAGCCTGGATGTGAAATGAAAAGAGTTAAAAAATAGAGAAAATAATAATTGTAAATATAGATCCACGTCCATCTTGCCACACACAGTTTGCATCATCCCCTTGACATGAAACTGATCAGAAGTTAGCTTCGTAAAAATTAAGTATTGATGAATGGGCAAATCCTCTGTAACAACTGTAAAAGTAAAAAGTAAAGTTCCCTTTTCAAACCTGACGGTCTATAGGGCAAGTGAAGTAGAGTTCACTTGTTTCTGTGACCTCGGCATATGAAGAGATAGTGTGGTCAGCACTATGCCCAGCCGTCTTTACTTTCCCTAACGTGAGTTAGGTACCCATCAGAGCTGGGTGGACTAAGGGACGGTCTACTGACTTAAACCCGGATTTGAACTCGAGACTTACGGGTTAGCAGTCCAGCTCTCTACCGCTAGACCACTCCGTCCCCTGTAACAACTGTAACTGATACTAACATAACAGATCATCAACATTTCCAGACCAGACAGAATCCAAACAAACCTGCATAAATTCCAATTCATCCTGACTTAGCCCATGCGCTGACTTTGTTTTATACTTGAAGTATTCTTCTGGGTCTTCTTCCTTAAAAACACAAGCAATATTCAAAACAAAATGTTAATCCATACTTCCTAGATCAACAAAGAAATAAAGCAATAATTTGCTACATTTCTGTGATGTATTTAGTTAACTGAGGTTTCTGAAATCAAACTTCTACAATTTAGAAAATATGGCATTGGAAAACTTCTTTATTATGTTCTTGATAAGTTAGAAATATTTTTTGTAATAGACCAGTTTTCACACAAGTGTTGCCATGATTATTCATTAAGGGGAAGAAAATAATAAATGTTTTAAACTGAATATGAATTTTTTAATTAATGCATTACAAAGTGCATAAACATTGAAATTATGACTTACTAAGCTAATATATATCAACTGTATTATTTTAACCTTTACAGGTTACTGGCTTTGTTATGATATATGAACACTAGTTTAAAATATTTTAGGGGAGCTGGATTTAATAACTAATAGGCAGTAAAAAAAGGCCTACATTTTTATTTTGTATGACAGTAGTGTGATGGGGGGAAATGTATGCATAGCTATATGAAACTATATGATGACTACTTCTATAACTAACACTCCTTCTTCTTCTTCGTTCTTAATTTTTAGTATTGGAAGGGATTGAGGCTTATCTACTTAACTCGAGACTTTATTCGAATTTATCAGCAATGAGCTTTTGCCGACTCGACCACGCCTCCATCACAATTAAGGTTCTACTTCTTCATTCTTAAATTTAGTGTTGGAAGGGATTCCCTTCAGAACAATTGTGTATACATGTCAACTGGTTATGCACCATTTAGAACTTTGACTCCGATTTCAGCCTGCTTTTCTTTTTGGATTTGCTTCCATAGCCTTTGTCCGACCGAGAACAAACTACAAGTCAGCAGTTGTTTGATTTTGGAGTTGTCTCTCCTAGAAGAGTGGCTGTCCCCAGCTAACGAGCCTCATCTGCCCGAGGGTTCGAACTCGAGACTTTTCGGTTTAGCAACCATGAGCTTAACCGACTCGACCCCACCGACCCCACTAACACTCCAACTATAAACATGTGATGAGGACGGGAACACTCTTATTTTCCGACAACACTGAGTTAAGGATATAAACAACTTCAATCATAAAATAGAATTAACTTTATTGTCAACAACCAATACTAAACGAACTAGAACTACTCTGTAAAATATACAACACGTCATTTTCCTACCATGGCTAACCCCCAAATGTCTTCACTCCTGCGTCCTACAGCATCGGTAACATTGTTGCGTTACGCTCACGTCACAAATATTTTATCAAACATGTGCACATACTCTCAAACCACACCATCTACCATCAAGTTTACACCGTCCTTATTAGTCTCTACCAGTCTAGTCTTATTTTATCTATCTGCGCTATGACAAGTAGCCTAACTTATACAATAAGACTGCTTTAGTGTTAGTAGGCTTTGGCCTTTAAAAATGGTTTGACAGAGCATTGAGTAAGTCTTCTGCATTTTACTAAATGTTGAAGACTTACTCAATACTATTAACTTAATAGTAATACTATTGACTAAAACTATTAGTATTATTTTATTATTACTTAGATTAAGACTAAGTTAGTAAGAGTACTTTAAAAATTTAAAGTGGACTAGTTCCTTTAGTGTAGACTTCTACAGATGTCTAAGTCTAGTAGAGTTTTATTTTTTTAGGCCTAATAGATCTAGATCTCATTACTAATAAGTAGTTATAGATAAAATAAACTCGAAATGGTTAATGGTAGGTTGTAGCCTCAGCCTGGCTTTTTTAGTTTCTTTCTTAAGTAGAATCTAAGATCTAAACCTAGACGTTCTATTCTAATCTAAATTATAGATCTATTCTACTAAAAATTACTACACCTAACCTAAAATAAATTACTACTAATAATAATAGGCCGATTTCTAGCCGGAAGAAGAGGGAAGAAGATGCACATGCTCATAGTGCTACAACGATCTGGTTTTTCTTGTCATCTACATGTTCATTGTTTAGTAGACTTAAATAGGTGATTAAAATACATTTACAATTTTATTTTATACTTAACTTATAGACTAGAACTCTTTACAGGATATACTACAACTTATGTTAGGAAAACAAACACGGCTGGACATATTGCTGACCACACTATCCCTTCATATGCCGAGGTCTCTGAAGCAGATGAACTCTACTTCCTTTGTCCCGGGGACCACAAATGAGAAATTATGATGATACTATGATGAACCCTCAACCTCTGATGACCCGCCCAAAGCGCAACTGCTCGACAACACGGCACAGATAGTTTTGTCAGAAGAATAAGGCTAAAATTGGTAATTTGATCCTATTACGCAGGTATAAAACAACATCTGAGCCCATTGCGCAACTAATAGTAATATTTAATTTAAGCCCGTTGCACAGTTATTAAGGTCAAAGCGTTTTGCATTTTCTGCCGCCCAGACTAGCGCTGGGGACTAAAAGCTTTTTTCAGAGTACTCACTTCGTAATTAATAGCCTAATACTATAATACTAATCTAATACTAATAATAAACTTAAAACTAACGACTCAATGAGTAGGCTGAAATTTAGGCCTAACTTGTAACTGCACAGTAATTGAATTACTCTAACAGTCAACAGTCTGTTAGTAGACCAGCCTAACTCTAATACTATAAAAGTATAAACTATAAACTCTATCATATCTAACTAATAAATAAAAGGCCGATGCTAGCCGGAATAAGATACGGATGCGCAATGGAGAGAAACTACGACTTGCCATCCCGACGATGTTTTTGATGGTACTGCGCATGCGTGTGTTTACAACTACAGAACCCTACATCAACCCTAATCCTATCCCTAATCCTTCCCCTAACCCTAGCCCTAATCCTATCCCCAATTCTAGCCCTAACCCTAGGTCACTGCGCATGCACAGAGCTATCTTTTGCCGACTAGGTGGAGACGTTGGGGAGAAAAATCTTCTTCCGAGTAGTCACTTTGTAAATAAAATAGTAATAATACTAAAATTAGGCCAAATTAAGATAATATTTACTACTAGATCTAGATTCTAGATCTAGCTAGAAGTAGGCCTAAAGTAAAACAAAAAAGTTTACTGTACTGTACATTGTACAATGTACTGTAAAACTAAAACTGTAAACTTTTAAAACTAAACTTACAATACTAAACTAAAACTTAAACTTAACTAAACTATTAACTAACTAGTTATTACTAGTTACTAGATTCTAGTTAGGTTACTTCACTTCTCTTACTACTAACTTTTACTACTACTACTAACTACTTACTAGTTAGTTACAACTAGATCTAAATCTAACTAAACTAGTAAAAGATCTGGAATTCTAGATCTAGATTTATTACTACATTCAACAATTTAACTTAATTTTTTTTAACATACCCGAAACGTGTCTAAAACATACTGTTTTGTTTTCTTCCATAATCCTCTTGGCATTTTCAAAACTGTAGATTGACGCTAGATCTGGACCTTTCCTCGACTAAAGCGATTAATGTACAAGAAAACAAAATGTGTCCCGATTACAAATGCAAAGCAGTAGAGCTAAGTACTAAAGTAGTAAGTAGATCTAGACTTCTAGATCTAGATCTAGATCTAGATTCTCTATATCATATCTAGACTAGCTAGATTAGATGTAGGCCCTATGTTACAAACAGCTGAAAAAGATTTTAATTTCCTTACTAAGAAGAGGTTATGTTTATTTACAAAAAGGGAATTATGGGGGAGACTTTACTATAAAATAATAAATGAAACGAAAAGAGGGATTTTTAGTTTTAGGGTAGAGGTTGTCCATAAATGATGTCACACTTGTAGGGAGGGGGTCCGTAATTTTGTGACGGTTTGTGATGAGGGGGATTGGGGGGGGGGGGGGGAATTCAGATGGTGTGATGTCACACTTTTGCATTATAATTTATAAATAGCAATGTTAGAAAACGAGTTTCGGCCGTTATTTCGCGTTTTAGAAAACTGTTTTAAGTTTTAACAAATTGTAATAGGAATGGATTAAAATACTCTATGCTGACAGAGTTAAGAAATTTTTTTGGAAAAATATCGATGTTTTAAGAAAAATTCAACTGCAATTTTGAGGGGGTGAGAGAGAGGGAGGGGGGGGGGGTTGTAGGCTAAGACGTGTCGTCATTTTATGGGGCGGGGTAGGTCTGGCTTTTTTGTGACGATGTGTGACGGAGGGGGGGGGGGAGGTAAAATTGTCAAAAAAAGCGTGAATTCATTTATGGACCCTAGAGGGTAAAAAAAAAAAAACTTTATTCCCGTCATTTGACGACATTGATTATGATTGATGAACGACCATTCAGCATCCAGTGTTTCTTCCAGACTTATAATTAATATCTAGATCATTTACATAAGTCTCTCTCTCTCTCGTACAGACTAAAGGGAGAGCCTATACTTCTATAATATAGAGTCCTTGCAAACACGTGACCTAAGTCACGTGATACCTACGCCCGCCGCCACAGTGGTGTACATCAGATGTAAACACAATCAGTTGTTCACCAGCGCTGGACGTGTTCACCAGCGCTGGACGCGTTCACTGTATGTAAAGAATCGCGCCCGCGGAAAAGGAAAAATACGTTAAAAAACTTGAACTCTTAGGAATTGAAGATCCTTATACAGTTATTGACAGTTTCGTGGATAATATAAATATGTGGCCGAAATTTCTAAATAATAATACTGTTAGTAATACCGTTTACGTTTAGAGTTTAAGTAGACGAATCTGATCAAATGCAGTAATATATTATAGGTTATCTACTGTAGCAAACGTGAGACCACTTAACTTCTACAAAACCCACACTTCAACGACTAATATAATCCATTGGTAATAACCAATCTGGGTAGCATGTTATACAATTTAAGACCCTTATAATCCAGCAGGGAAGTGATCAGACACATTAATACTGATGTTCAACTCTCATGATGGCTGCCCCCACCTGTATCTAGCCCACAATAAAAACCAAAGAGGAGTCTGCCCTGCCCTCCCCTGAAAATGTCTCACCTCCGTGATACCCAGCCCCACAGAGATAGTATTTCTTATATAATTTTGACCCTCAGGGCCCAGCAGGGAGAACAAAGGGGAAAGTCCCACTGCTCTCCCCTCAACATTTCTCACCTCGATGTCGTGTTATGTCATTTATAGCACACATGGCTTATCAGGGGAAAGCATTAAGGCATTAAGAATCTTAACTCTGGACAGCTACACACTAGTATACTAGCTACACACTAGGTGCCTACTGTAAACTACTAGACTGTAGGCCCTATGTAGACCTGCAATTGTATCAATTGTAGACTGGGTCCATTGTTATTATTCTAAACCATCTCACTTATAATGTTTCTAGCTTGATTTGTTTCTTTTATAAACAGTGGATTTAAAAAAAAATTAGCCTAATCATTAACTAAATAATAATAATGTGGTTATTTGTTGTTGGCTGGTATGATCTAGATTGTACTACTAGGCTACAAAAACTTAGTAGACCAATTACTATATATGAATTTGAATTTAATTAAACTCAGTCCAGTATCAGATACATATTGCTGTAAAAAGACAACAAAGTAGGTAGGCCTTAGTAATTTATTAAAGCCTTCTACTACAGTAATATCAACTACATGCTTGTATAAAGTTTTTACAATTTAATTTAAGTAGCAGATTCTAGATCTAAGTCTAGTCATACAATCTATTTCAATTTCAGAAAATTTCGTTTGCTAAAAAATGATTAGATTATAGAGCGAGATTTTAGATCTTAGAGACAATTAAATGCTTTATTAGGCCTATTATGACTACTTTTGATTTATTATGGGTGTATTTTGAATCGAATGTAGATCTAAATTTTGTAATTAAATTTAAGTAAAGAAGTAGATTCTAGATTCTATGTCTACCCAGCGGAGTCAGTCACCCTAAATCCAGAATCTAGATCTGTGGTCCGAATTTTGTTTACGCCATGTTTAGAGCTAGATTCTAGATCTAGATATTAAAACACTATTATTAGGCCTACTATTAGATCTTCTTCTTCTTATTATTACTTTGTCTTTTATTAATAGTTATCTTTTATAATTAAAATGAAGTTTATTTTACTGTCCTTACCTGAAACAAAGTATCGAGAACTGCATTTGATCAGATTCGTCTACTTAAACTCTAAACGCAAACAGTATTACTAACAGTATTTTTATTTAGAAATTTTGGCCACATATTTATATTATCTACGAAACTGTCAATAACAGTATAAGGATCTTCAATTCCTAAGAGTTCAAGTTTTTTAACGTATTTTTCCTTTTCCGCGGGCGCGATTCTTTACATACGCTGAACACGTCCAGCGCTGGTGAACACGTCCAGCGCTGGTGAACAGCTGATTGTGTTTACATCTGGTGTACACCACTGTGGCGGCGGGCGTAGGTATCACGAACGGACGTGACGTCATATGAAAGGACTCTATAGACACGTTTCCTACCTTTGGCCGGTAAATCTCTCTCACCCCCCCCCCCCCGAAGAAAGTCTACCGCCCCCCCCCCCTACCCCCGAAAGAAATGAAATTTATTTAGAAAATATATACTTTTAACAGTGTCCGCCCCGCCCGCCCCCCCCCCCTCCCGAAAATTTCAAGTGCCCCCCCCCCCCCGGAGAAAAAAATCTGGAACGTACGAAAGAACAAAGAAACATTCTATTCGCTCACCTAAGGTTTCTTAATAGGCTTGAAAAGCTGGTTCCAAATGGTTGTTGCTAGAAAGCATATTTTTTAAACCAAAATTTAATGTTATAGCATTCGTGAAATCTGTACAAAACGACTTATTTCTAGAAATATTCAAACAAATATTAACTAGCAATATAATAGTAATTTAGCCAACACTTTTATTTTTAATTTGGATTAGAAGAGTCAGAGTGATATGGTGATAAGGGGTGTTATATTATTTAATATAAATAAACTACTAGGCTATACCTCAATGACTGCTATTGTGTATTTTATCATGAAAAATAATTGTTGTGACTTTCATTGTTTAACTTTCCCAGACCACTCCAGTTGAATCCAAGGCAGTGTTTCTTCCAGACTTTTTTCTCCGGGGGGGGGGGGGGGGGCAATTGAAATTTTTCGGGGGGGGGGGGGGGGGCGGTAGACTTTCTTTAGGGGGGGGGGCAGGACACTGTTAAAAGTATATATTTTCTATATAAATTATAAAAATTTCATTTCGTTCAGGGGGGGGGGGGGCGGTAGAATTTTGTCGGGGGAGCTTCGTCGTCCCCCCCCCCGAAGAGATGCCTTGAAGAAACTCTGCTTCAAGGAGGGGTTGAGGGTGGTTTTAAAAAGTATTTGAATTGATAAACGGTTTATATTCAATACACAAATATAAAATGAGTATAATCGATGGTACCCAAACGGCTTTAAGTTTTTATAAATGTAATTATAATTTTATAGCTTGCAATATTTTTAAAAAGATTTAATTTTTTTTTAGTTTGATTACAAAGACTTTTAAAGCCTGACGAGATAGAACGCAGAGATAATTTT